GCATGGTACTGCCACAGGACACTTTCTCATTGAAGATTCCTCTTCATTTTCCCAATGATTACTGCTTATCTCTGAATCTTCAGAGGTTTAGGTTGTTTCTGAAAGTAACAAGACCTAGAAATGTATGCTAAATTATAGTAGTAGAGCAGGAATGCTAACAACTAAAATATAGAATTAGCTGTACAGTGGTAGTCATGGTTCAGTCAACTGACATGAAAATATTACTACTTCAGTTTGGGTTGGGGTATATTTTCACCGATGTGTGGTATTAAGATGCATAGCATAGTTCCAAACAAATCTGCAGATACTAGTTTAAGAAGCAAAACTGTTTTTAGTGGTGACTTCTTAAGTTAACCTTGAGGATGGTAATATTAGAATATCCCAAGAAAACAGCTGTGCAACCCATTTTATATCTTGCAAAATACTGAGGATTCAGGGGAAGGGGATGGTCCCCCATAGGATGGTGGGCAAAGTGCAGGCCATGGGCTGAATCTGGCTGACAGTGGACTCCATTTCACAGCAGCCCCTGCCTGCATGGGTGGGGCCAGTTTCCCTGGAGACTCCAGCAGCAGCTGCACTGTGATAGTGCAGGGCTGGGGTTTCCATAGAGACTGGCCCCAGCAGCTCTAGCAGGGCATGCGGCAGGGTGGGGAGCTACTCTGGGGCCAGGCTGGCATCTTGGAGCAGTGACAGGTGAGGCAGAGCCATGATCTGTGGCCTGTGTGCTCTAGGTAGGGGTATGGCCCCAGAGTAGCACCCCACCCTGCCAGCACTGCTGAAGCTGGTCTCCATGGAAACCCCTGCGCTATCACAGTGTGGCTGCTGGGGTCTCCATGGAAACCAGCTTCAGCCATATGGACAGGGGCTGCTGGGGAAATGGAGTCTGGCTGCTGGCCAGATCCACCCCTGCCATAGGAGGATATTGTGGCTAAACTTGGCAAAGATTAGAGTCAGGATTTAAGTGTCTAAATCATTTCTGGAAGAGTGAAATGTCACAGAATGGAGCTTTTAATACTTGGTTCTTCTCCTAGTCTGATGTGGGAACAGACTATGCCAAGTCTCCTACCTCAGAGTCCTGGGCTGTTCTCAATAACATCTGGTTAAGCTATTTCATGTACTAGACTAAATGATACTGATCCTGTATGGCAGTCTGTTCCAGTCTTTACACAGGTAAAACTATCCTTTTTGTAGACCTGTGTCTTTGAGTGTCCAAAATGCAAATTTTTAATTGGCTTACTATTCTGTTAACAAGTACTTCCTAAAGCAGGGCCTGGCAACCTACAGTCTGAGCCAGATCCAGCCTGCAGAGGTTCTGTCTGAGCACAGGAGATTTGGCATGGATTGACACCATGCTGCCCATCTCCTCTGTTGCAGAACCTGCTGTTGAGTATCTGCACTTACCCTTGCTGCAGAGGAGATGGATTGTGGTGATGGTAAGCACAGGCAGCTGTTTGCTCCAAGGGACAGATGCTTGTCACCTACAGCAAGAGCTAGGTCATAGAAGGTGGCCCACACTAGCAAGAGTGCCAACCCCTGTTCTTAAATCATTACTTTTTATATAGATTCCAGTTTAACAGTAATCTTGCTTAGCTTTTTTTTTTCCTGCATAGTACTATTGTCTCATTTGTCTACTTGGAATCAAGGCATTACCATAGCATTTGAATAGAGATAATCCAATCCTGTGTTGCCAGAAGGTAGCTTCTTATTGATGAGACTCGGCACTTGTGCGTGCAAACTAATTCTCCTACAGCAGACTGCAACAACAAATTTTAACAATGGCTATTTTTAATGCATCAGCAAGACCTAAGACATCATAGACTATGGGATATCAGCTAAAGAAAAAGCACATCTGTACAGGCAGAGCTCTGAACCAAGTTATTAAAAGTGGAGGCATCTTACCTCTAGGCCAACCAGGGCTAATTCTGCACTAAAGGCATAATTGAGAAGACCAATGCTGAACATAGACTGGTTACCTGGTAGAGGCTACCATGCCATATTAACACTGCTTCGGGGGGTAGGGGGAGAAGAGGGCATAACTTTGTCTAAACAGTAAGAGCAGTACGTGTAAAACACAAACATCTGGCATGTTTCTGCAGTTCTAAACTGGGACTACAGAGGCTGAAACGTCTTTCTTTTGTTTTTATTTTTATTTTTTTAATTGGTGTCTTCTATTTTATTAGAGCACTTGATTGCAACAGATGTCTCTTTTTTTTTTCCTAGTCTAGCTGCTTTTCTGACGGTGTGGATGCCAGGATCATACATGATCAGTCACCAGCTGTTGCATAGCAACCCAACTGTGCAGTGAAAATGTATGCATGCAGACTCCTATTCTAATATCTGGTGTAGGTTGGGAGGCAAAGGGGATGGTTTATAGGCAGGCACAGTGGGGAGCTGTAGCTTTAATATGGCTAATAAGTTGTACAAAACTTCAGAAGCCAATTATTTGGAGATTTAGTGGCCGAATCTCCAAATCTGAATTGAATTGGGAGACCTATTTAAAAGATTCAGGTCAAATCGGAAGCCTCTGAATAGATTCTGAAGGCTTGCAGCAAACTGAGAAGGGAGGGGGATGGGGTAATCTTCCATACATGGAAAAGGCTGCCCTCAGAAGGGGCTACCATCCCTGCTGTCTTCATATGAATCTTGCAAAAAAAAAAAATGACAATTATAGGTATTTTAGTGGTTTTTTTTCCCCCCTTTTTAGTCTCTGGCCGACTCTCCAAATCCAAATCAGCCAGTTTTGAAATTGGGACAATGATTTGAATCATTGTTCCTCCAAATTGGACTAATCCAAAGCAAACACTTGCTGCTTTGCACAGGCCTAATGGCTAATCAGTGTCCACAAGTTACTAGAATCTCTCTTAATACAGAAAGTCTTTAATCACTTCAGTTCTTTGTAAGGAGAGAACGCTCAACACTGTCATGAATGCTACTCCAGACTGCGGAAACCATGTGCCTCTCTTTTGTTTTCCGTTCTGTTCTTTAGCATCTTGAATCCTCCTAAAGAAAAAAGGACCCTTTAATTATCTTTGTTTTTAAAAACAAAACACACACAATGGTGGGAGTAGGTCATTGTAATCCATAAGGAGAACATGTAGACCCAGGACTTCATTTTACTTCTTTAGTAGAAAACTCCAATGTCTGCTACTTTGTACCACTTCACTTTTTCCCTCGACAAATGGGAAGCTAGTGCTTGCCTGACTTCAAAAGAAACTTTTGAAGCTTTAAAGTTTTTGTTGTTTTTATTTTTTTTTTTAAAATTGGGTGTATATAAAAAATATTATGTCTGAGAAGTACATGATGAATGGGAGTATAGCCATTTGAATAGAGGGCAGATCGCTGTCATGTTAGGGCAACGTTTGTTTGTCAATTGCTGTTGTGGGTGGGAGCTGGATTTTAAGGCCTGACTTTCATACAAGAGACCCTTTTTTTTAAAATTTTAAAAATCTTTATTTATAAATATCAGAGCATTAGGGAATGCGTGATTTAATCTCTTTTTGACATGGTTGCAGTTCTGTTCTTTTATTTCAGAAAGGGGTGGGGTAGGTAAGGTAAGGGGCCTACACATATTGAAATTATCCCTTGTGTCTAGATTGCTGTTGCTTGGCTGCAGTATCTTTTTTTTTTTTTTCCCTTGGAGAAGTTTTCTACAGTAAAACAGTACAGGCATACTAAAGTAAAATAATTGCACCCACTTTTAATTGAACAAATAAAATATAATTTGTGCTTGAACTACCATAAAGGGAAAACAAGCATTCGGTACCTATGAGCTAGAAAATGGTCTTGTAGATTTGTTTCGGCTCTAGCTTGCTTATACCAGAGACAGAAGTGTGCCTTAAGCACAGCACTGGGTTGTATTACATACCTACCCTCTAAGCAAGTTGCATTTTAATCTTGCAAAATTTTGGTGGCCCTAAAGGAAATTACTGAATGTTGAAAGGACAAATTCACGGGGGTGTATGTGGTAGAGAAGAATGCATATTTATCACTAGTGGGGCTTATTCTCAGATTTAAAGCAAAAATTTCCTTTTGATTATTGACCAATCCTCAAATTTTTAAGACTTGAACACTTCTTATGTGAAAGATGGTGGTCTTAGGGGTACCATGAGAACTTTTAATATTTCATTGCACTTCTAGCTGGTCTGCATTCTGGTGTTTTACATTGAGGTCCTAGAAAAGGTGAGACTTGAGTGCTTTATCTCTAAACAAAATGGAAGAGTTTGACTTAATTTTTCTACTACCCTTATTTGTTACTTAATTAGGGCCAGGGTATAAGAATTTCAGGGTAAGAGTACACAAAGCTTTAAGTGCTGAAGAAGGAGCTAATAACTTCTTGGCCAGTTGACTGGTCATTACTGATTGACTATTTTAAGAGAAGTATCGGGTTGTAGTGCGATTCCCAATCTAAAGGATTGCGTCAATACTATGTGCATCTGTAGGTACATCTACACATGTGCTTAACTGGGCAGTAGACTAACTTTGCTGTAGTATAAAAAGTTACAGCCTATGCATGCAGTGCTATTAGACTGCAGCAAACTGATTTTCAGCATTATAAGCACAGCACTATTTTATGGCAGTGTAAATTAACTGTGCCTAAATGTACTTGTAAATGCTGACCTGGGCATAAATTGTACCCAGCTAGCCAAGGCACCAGGGGGCCAGACCCCTGCCTGCTGCCTAGCTACACAACTCTGTTCTGTTGGGCACTCCTGTACCTCTGACAATGGCCTGGGGCTGACCCTCTCTCCTTTCTCCAAGCCTGTTGCCAGCCCTGCCCTAGCTCAAACTTCTGCAGTCCCAGGTGCACGTGTAGATACTGCACCCAGGAGCAGTTGACTCCAGTTCAGACTGCACCACAGTTTATTGCATTGCACTAATAGCACATGTAGATGCACTGAATGAAACCTGATCTTGAGCAACGTTTTCCTTCCTGTATATGTAACTTTAAATGGATTAAAGTTATTGGAATAATAAATAGCTGATTTTTCTCCTTTTCCCAGATTGTACACCTTGTATCCTTAACTCCAGAGAAAAGGAGCTCACCATGGGACAACATTCAAGATGCCTCTCTGAAAAGGATCTTCTCCTCGGGTGATATGTATTTACTCTGACTGTCTTTATATCTAAAGGATTATTTTCCTTTTTTCCATTTGGAAATACTTCAAATAGAAACTTTGTTCCTTATTGGAAACAGTCTCCTCACATTAAGGACTGAATACATAATGGGTGATATGGCTAACAACTCAGTTGCATATAGTGGTGTAAAAAACACTGTAAAAGAGGCTAATCATGGAGATTTTGGAATCACACTTGCTGAGCTTCGTGACCTTATGGAACTGCGAGCTACAGATGCATTGCATAAAATTCAAGAATGTTATGGAGATGTTTATGGTATCTGTACAAGATTGAAAACTTCCCCAAATGAAGGTAAGTGTCATTATGATGAACACTGGTCCAAAAGATTTGATTTCTTCTACTTTGGGAAAGAGGTAATTAAAGTAATTTCATCTAGTTGTTCATAATGGTTTCGGGGCAGGCTTACTGCCCAGCATCCAGTGAATAGTAAGGTTAGTTAACTACATCAATTTCTGTATTAAATGTTATAAAACACAGCTTTTGAGAACTTTTAGGAAGAATGCTCTAGTCAAGGTTTTTGTTGTTTCCGCACTTATAGAATAGTGTTTTGTCAAACACCGTGTGGTGAAGGTTCTTATTCAAAGTGCAAACCTATGCTTCTGCTTTTAGAGAAGTAACCAGGATTTCATAACTCAAAGTTCAGTCTTATGCAGTATAAATCGCACACTCTACTTTTTTATTCTGATGCTATGCTTACTAGTAATGTCTCTCTATTGCCATCTAGTTGCTTTTTTGGCTTACAGGCATGCATTGTGTGTTGTCTACACTTTTTTTAAAAAAGGATCTTTTCATTTGAAGCATACTGAAGAGCGTATTGATTCAAAATGAAAGATCAAATTCTTAATTAACAGATGTAGCTTTTTAAAGTCCACTTGCTATTTGGCAGCTCTGTTACTGACTTTTTAGCTAGTAAATATATGTTTAATGTGCTTTTGTGACGGTGATTAGAGTTGCTTAAATGGTGAGTTCAGATCTCTTTTTTTTCATTGCTACTTAACTGTTTTAAGCAGGTTTTGTAGAATCTTGATGAGGCTTATAAACTCAATGTGAGCTGCTATCAGAAGGTTAACATGATCTGTCTTGAGTAGGAACACGTTTTTGGTAGCCTAGTTGCATAACTAAAAAAAAAATTTTAAATTCTTATCACCCATTGTCTCAGGTGTGGGGGGAGGGGAGCTAGATGAATGTTGCAACTCTAACATTAATTGGCATATTTGGCTTATGTAACCTATTTAAGCAGCAACTGTCAGTCAAGATTTCTTGTTTGTAAATAATTTGGTTTATGCATAGTCTCATTTTGGAGCATTACTTTAAGTACATGACTAAAGGTTGGGGGGAGGGGGAGAAGGGGGGCTTTGAATATGAATACTCCTATACAGTTTATCTGCTGTGTTCTGTTCAATTAATGTTATAGGTAACTTCATATTGGACATATCAATCTTTCTAATTAAATCTCAGTTAATTACTGGTATTACTAATAGAAATCCTACTGTAGGAACCAAAGAACAAACTAAAGTTACTGGCCAGGTACAGACGCTTCACTTTTTTTTACTGGCATAAGTGATCAAAAACTAATCCTTAACAGAACAGAAATTTGTGGTGCACAACTGGTCTACTATACTTGTAACAGAGGACAGAAGTTTGTACACAGACTAGTTTAAAAATGGTGGAACCCAATCTAAGACCCCAGCAGATGCATAACTTTGATCAATTCTGTGTTTGGGCTTCTTGAATGCTTGTACCTAGCCACTGGTGCTAGTTGTGTGATGGGAGTACGATATAGGGAGTAAGTAAGTAAAACAAGAAGTATATATCTGAGCAAAGAAGCTCTGCATAAAAATGAATTGCTTGTGTGGAAGTAAAGCTAGTCTGAGGTTAAAATAAGGGTTTCTTAAGCAATGTACCATTTAACCTGTGAGCAGTTCTCCCATGGGGATGTTGTATAATGTATTGGAAGATGATGAATTTGAAGTTGGATACCCATCCTAAAGCTTTTCACCAGAACTGAACTAAATTTCTTCCATGAAACGAACTGTAGTCTTCTGAAAATAGACTCAAGCCCTACCAAATGCAGCTAAAATGTGAAGTTGACCTTTTTTACTCAAGTAATCGAGCTATAGATGAGACATCAGGCTGGTGCACACTTTCTAGGGAGTTGTATAGTAAGGCACACTACCTGCATGCAAAATGCATTTTTAAAAAAAATATTTCAGTTTTTAAAAGGCTTCTTTCTACCTTTGGAAGTGTGGCTACAACTGTCTCACGCCCCTTGCTTTTAGCTTTCCAGTAAGCTTAAAGTAAGCTCGTGTATATTATGGTAGGACACCAGTGCTGCTGGACATCTTGAAATCAGGACAACCCACATGCTTGCGGTGGTGGTAGTAGCAGTAGTTCCCATAAAGTCCATGGCTGAAGAATTGTAGAAAGCCTGGTAGGGAGGGGACCCCTGGAGGTTCTTAGTCCCGTTTTCTGTTCAAGAAAGGATCATCATCTCTAAGTATTCCACAACTGTTTAACTGTCTGTCTTCTAGAACACCGAATGTGAGCCCACAATCTTACACAAACTATTCTACTGCTAAACTGCTATCGGTTAAAATTTTTTTTTCTAATATCAAGTCTGCTTCTCCTTTGCAATTTAAGCCTGTGTTCACAGGACAAACAGTAATTGATGATACTCTTCATAATGACCATTTTAAAAGGCCTATCGGATCCTCCTCTTTTTAGTTTCTTCTCTAGAGAACTAAATAACATTTTGTCAAATTTTCTAGGCTTCCAATAACTGTCCGCCTCTCATGAAGTGCAGTGCCCAAAACTTCATGGCTTACAGGCATGCATTGTGTCTGTAAGCCATGTGCCTCCAAGTGAGCCTGTACTAACCCTGAAAAGTAGAATAATTGCTTACCCGGATACACCTGTTGAATTTTTCTCAGCATTCTGTTTTGCTCTCAATGGTATACTTGCTCCTTGCTTGCTATGCAGTATCTTGGTGTCCTTCTTCAGTATTGTTCCCAGGGCACTCATTGTTTCTATATTTGTGCCCTTTCTTTCTAAGAACTACACTAATCCTTGAATGAATTTCATCCTGTGTATTCACACTACTGCTAATTTATAATGGTCACTTTGGGCATCTGTTTTGGGTCCAAGACAAAAGGACCCTTTTTTTTTCATACCTCCCAGTTTTTAAGCATCATCCTCAGAATAGCCAGTGGCTTGATTTTTATGCAAATAGTTACGTACTCCTGTTCTTCAAGTAGCTTCATCTGGACAGTATTTCCCTGGCTTCATGAATGTGGTGTGGGAGGCAATTAAACCATACTAAACATTTTGGTTTCATCTGTAAGAGGAATAGGCAGTCTTTCAAAACTATTTTTTTAAAGCACTGAAATTCTTCCTTTTCAAAACTATGAAAGGGAGTTATTGCACAGTTTTGACTAATTCAGGTTTTGTTTTTTCCTTTAGTCTTGGTGTAAGGTAACTCACTTAAGGTTGTATTAGTTTTTTTATCAGCTATTAAGAATTAAAGGCAGAACTTGTCAACCCTTGGTAAATCTAGGAATGAATTTTTAATGTGGCACAAGATTTGGCACGTCATAATTCCCAAACAAGTTTCTGCTGCATTGGCTTTCTACATATACATTTTAAGGGAAGCTGTCTCCTTCCCTGGTTGCATTTTGCTTGTTTTCTGGTTCTGATACTTATTTCATTGCCAATGGGATTATTGAAAGACCACAATCCAGACTACTGTTAAGTTATGCCTGAGGTAATATAGAGTACAACTGATGTATAAAGGAGTGTTATTTCCCTTTATGCACACTAAATGGGAAGGTAAAGAGAAGGTAAAGTACCAGGGAGGAGGAAGAGTGTTAAATATTGTGAAACAAGACTCCAAGGTGAATAAAGAATTTTGACAGACTGTCTGGAGGTACACGTTCAGTGTGTTTCCATATTGAAGCTTTTGCTGTGGTGTGTTGTCCTGCATAATTAGCAGAGCCTCGGTAGCTAATATACAGCTAATTCCTATAATTTCTTAGTCAAGTGGGTGGTTTGTATGAAGTCTTTTTCTTTTAATGGAAATCAGGCTAACAAAGGAATTCAGCTTGCTTCAGCAGGTAATTGAACTAGCCATATTCTTACTACTCCTGCACTTACTTTTTTTTTTTAATTGTACTATGGAATGTACCTATCCTTTGTTCTGCTGCAAACTGTCTCTACACTACAGGTATAATCTTCCATTTTAACATTTGTGATGGCACAATTTCAATAATAGACCTCCTGGACAGTGCTCATACGGCCACGGACTAGAGTACATCAGAAATGCTGATTGTGATGATAAAGTTTATCTCTAAAAAAAATAACCACCACAGTTCATGCTGAATGGTTCCACAACCTAAAGGGACTCTAATGTAGTTTGGGGATTTTTCCCATTTTTTCCAAAAAAATGTCAATGACACCTGGCTTAACATGCAACTTGGCTTCAGTTTGGCACTAAATGATTGATTTTTTTTTTTTTTTTTTTAACTTTTTTTTAATTTTATTATTGGGTGAAGTTACCAAGTACTGAAGGTACCAAGAACAAGTCGTGTCTGACCAACCAGACTTCCTTCTATAAGGTGACACTGGTTGGGGGAAGAGCAATGGATATTATTTAAAAGCCTTGCTCAAGTAAAAGTATGACATGTTGGGAGAAAACTATGATGGGGAGACTAAGGAAATGCACTAGATGAAATACTGTAATATTTTAAAATGTAATATTTGTAAATACAAAATTGCTTGGATCCTTATGCTTAACAAGTAGTAATTTTAATGGCTCAATGTGCCGTTCAGAGGAAGTATTAAGGTCTTTCCTGGATTCAGTATCGTTTCCCATGGATGTTGGGGTTGTGTGCTTGGCAAACTTGCTGATGACACCAAGTTGGATGGACCCTCTCTGCACTTGTCCATGTTGACTCCTCATCTGATTGTAGAGTGGAAGCATGGTCTTTCCAGGCCATTCTGGATCCTAGCCTTACCTGCGAAGACCCACACTTGGGATGATATGATTGTATGCACAGATACAGACTGAGGAATGACTGGTTAGATCACAGTACTGCAGAGAAGGACCTGGGAGTTACAGTAGACCATAAGCTGAATGTGAACCAACAGTACATTTTTGCAACAGAGACTGCATACTAGGCTGTATCAACAGGGGGGTCACTCAGGAAGCAATTCTTCTGCTTCTATTTGGTTTTAGGACCCATGCACCAAGAAGGATATGGAAAGTCCACAGGAGCACAGCAAAAATGAGGCAAGAC